CTCTCCTCCCCCACCCCACCCTCCTCAATAAAGCTGCCACCTGCTTCTCGGGGTCCTCTTCTCTGTGGGGGAGGCTCCCCCTCCGCGTCTTCTAGTGCGCACCTCCCAGGGCCTCCAGGCTGCTGTCAGCCAGCAATGCCTCTGGGTTGAAAGGTGGGGGTGGCCCAGCCCGTGTGGCTCAGTGGTTGAGTATCGACCTGTGAACCAGGAGGTCAGGGCACATGCCCAGTTGCGGGCTTGATCCCCAGTGTGGGGTGTGCAGGAGGCAGCCGATCCATGATTCTCTCTCATCATTGATGTTTCTATCTTTCCCTCCCCTTTTCTCTCTGAAATCAGTAATTTAAAAAAAAAAAAAAATGGTGGGGGCAGCGGTGGGAACGAAGTGGAGGAGTGGCCAGAATCTAGGAGGTGGGCCTGTCCTCAGGCAGTGTGGACATACTGCCCCTCTTGGGCAGCGGCCTGAACTGGCCTCAGGTGCTGACCCATGAGTAGAATCCAGGAGTCAGATGGATGGGTGCCATCTGGGTCAGGTGCCTGCTCCTGGTCCAATCGGCAACGGGATGGGGCTCGGCCGCAGGTCCAAGCCCTGTGCCCGGAGGTAGACAGCCCCAACGTGCCTGCCGCAGAGCTGGAGGCCAGGGGTTGCCACCTGCTGGGGTGGGACCGCATGTCTGTGTCTGCTGGGACCCCAGGCCATGTTCCCTGGTCCAGTGGGTGTTTCTGCCTCCCCGGTGCTGAGAATAGAAAAGGCTGTGGGCCACGGGGACCCAGGAGGAGTGGTGCCTGGCACTGTCCACCTGGTTCTCTGGGTAAGCATTCTCCCTCACGGCCGTGCTGGGGACCCAGTCTTTGTGAACTGTGTCTAGCGAAGTGTCCCTGGAACCAGGACCAGCTGCACAATGTGCAGGGCCCCATGCAAAGTGCAGGTGCGGAGCCCGCTGTTACACAGTTAAGCATTTCCATGAGACTGGCCGGGCCGGGGTGTGAGTGGGTGGTGTGTGCCGTCCCTGCCCTGGGAGGTTGCGAGTTTGATTCCTGTAGGGGATGTGCAGGAGGCAGCCTACGGATGTTTTAGTCTCACATCGATGTTTCTCTCTCCCACTCCCTTCCTCTCTCTAAAAAAAAATCAATTTAAAAACTGGGGGGGGGGCCCTAACCGGTTTGGCTCAGTGGATAGAGCGTCGGCCTGCAGACTCGAGGGTCCCAGGTTTGAATCCAGTCAAGGGCATGTACCTTGGCTGCGGGCACATCCCCAGTGGGGGACGTGCAGGAGGCAGCTGATCGATGTTTCTTGCTCATCGATGTTTCTAACTCTCTGTCCCTCTCCCTTCCTCTCTGTAAAAAAATCAATAAAATATATTTAAAAAATAAAAACCGGGGGGGGGGGGACCTTGAGTGTGGGCTGGATTTGGTGACTTACTTCCAAAGAATAGAGCAGCAATGCCTGGCCGGCGTGGCTCAGTGGTTGAGCAAAGACCTATGAACCAGGAGGTCATGGTTCGATTCCCAGTCAGGGCACATGCTTGGGTTGTGGGCTCGATCCCCAGTGAGGGGTGTGCAGGAGGCAGCTGATCGGTGTTTCTCTCTCATCCATGTTTCTAACTCTCTATCCCTCTCCCTTCCTCTCTGTAAAATCTATTTAAAAATATAAAAATAAAGTGACTTCCCTGTTGTTCTCTCTCTCAGCATCCTTTAATTAAAAAAAAATCAGCACACCAGTTGGAAATTGCTGGAAGAGAGCAGAGAAAAAGAAAAAAAATGTACTTTTATAGCAGAAACACTTGGCAGCCACCATCTTACCCACGTGACTGAGGTAGCATCACCCGTGGTGGCTCGCTCAGGAGGACCGGCCCTCTGCTGGGATGCAACGACCACCTCACCTCTGTCTCCTCTCCCAACCCAGACCCTCGGCTAATCACAAGGACATCAGACACACCCCAACTGAGGGCCATTCTACAAAACTGACCAGTGCCCCTCAAAATGGCCAAGGTCATGAAAAAGAAGGAAGACGAAGAAACTGGAGCACAGGAGACGAAGGAGACACACCCCTGAGTGCCACGTGGCCCCTTCAGAGCCACTCACTGGTGCCCTTCTGGCGCCCCGCCCGGCCTCTGCGCTATCCGGCTCTACATTCACTCCTACATTGGTTATAAATCCCAAAGTCTCTGCTGTCGCCGCTGTGTTACAGCTTCTGTACTTTCCTTCCTTTTCGGAGAGTAGATTTTCATCTGGGGTCCTTTTCTTCTGCCTGTGCAACTTGTGGTGTAGGTCACCTGGCAATGAGTTCTTTCAGCTTCGGTCTGTCTGAAAAGTCCATGTGACCCCATCTCTTTTTTAAAATAGTTTATTGACTTGGAGAGAGAGGGAGAGAGAGGGAAACAGATGTGAGAGTGCCACATGGATTGGCTGCCTCCCATCGAGGATCGAGCCTGCAACCGGGCACGTGCCCTTGACCAGGAATCGAACCAGCAACCTCCTGGTGCATGGAAAGATGCCCCATCAACTGAGCCACGCTGGCCCGGGTGCCCCCATCTTTTTAAAATTTTATTGATGGATTGATTTCAGAGAGGAGGAAGGGGGAGAGAGACGGATTTTGTTGTTCCCCTTATTTGCATTCATTGGTTGATTCTGGTCTGTGCCCTGACTGGGGGCCAAGCCCAGATCCTTGGCTTATCGGGTCAAAGCTCCAACCAACTGCGCCATCTGGCAGGGCCTGACTCTGTTTCGATTGCTGACTCGTGTC